TTATAAAATGGTATTTTTTTCGTGACAAGATTGAGACTTACCTGAAAGTGTATTTTAAAATGGCACGTTACAATATGGAAAAAGATACCATATGGGGCATATAAAAAATTATTTATCTTAATAAGGGATATACAAATAACAAACCAGGAAAGTAACCTGAATAATATTCCTATATTGGGTTTGCAAAACATGCTTGTCTAAGCTTTGAAGAATTTTGGGAAAAGACACAAAAAAAACATTGAAAAGAAATCAAATTCTAGTATATTACCTAAAGGATTAAAGATCAAGATTGTTAAAAGTAAAACATTTGTGCTTTCTTTTTCTTTTCTGCACTTTTTGTTCTTATTATCATTATCATTAAAAGTAACATATAATTTCCACAACCTAAATGTCCTTTGGTTATAACTTGGTTTGTAAATACAAGAATATAAATTATTATTTACCTTGCAAGATTATCAAATCTGAATTCCTACTAAAAAAAAACGTAATGTCTATCGGCTAGGCATAAAGACATTACAGTTGTTCAAAATCCCATATGATTGCATAGATTCCTAGTGTCTGAAAAAGATATGCAAAACAATAATCTTAAAGATTTAATGGTCTAACATAATTTCATCCTGTAGCTGAAAACAGGATTTCTCTGCTGATGCACTTATTGTTTCTCTCATTGACGTCAACAGCTGTACGCAAATGGGTGCCTATCCATCATCCTCGTGTCAGAGAGCACACTTAGCTTCCACTGTCCTGCTTCTATAAGGCTGAGTAGTCAGGCCTTTTATGTTGCCAATCAGGAGGCTTTTCAACGGTCCTTGAACAATAATTTCTGTCTAGGCTTTATGCTGAAAGCATTTTATCGTTATTAGGAATATGTGCATATGCATTTGAAAACAGGTTATTTTTTCTTTCAACTGTAGAAATGATTCCAGTTGGTATGCACCAACAGTCTTAATTATTTTTTTAAAAAATTCATAAGAAGGATTAATATTGATTAGTTTGTAAAGTAATCTGTGACACCATTAGAATGTTTGAGAAAGCCAGTATTGTGCAAGTCATTTTAATATGGATTCTAGAAAACATGGTTTTCAAAACTATTTATTAAAAAAATTATATGAAACATTTATTTCCAAAGCAGTAATGCATAGTTATAGTTATTTTATACATTATTATATATTATTATTTTATAAGTAATGCAGTCTTTGCAAAGCAGCTGTTTTATGCAATCATTATAGTGACTCCCACAGTAGTCATTACATACATGTTTCAATGTACAGTATGATAACTCAGTGTGCCTTTGTCTTCAGAATGTATCTTCTTTGGGCAACTCAAAAACCCTTCATTTAAAATGTTGCTGTTATGTTGTATTCCTGAAAATTTCTTTTAGCTTTCCATCAAATCACCCAAAGCTCTTTTTTATTATGGAAAGCAACACTTCCAAACAGAATTAACTAATAGCATTGACAGAAGGGCTGCCTTCGGGAGGACAGGCTGCCTTTTGGGCCTGGCTCTCACCACCCTTTCACCTGCATGCTGCACTCTTGTTCTTTGGTTCTAGTCGGGGGACATGCCAGTTCCTGGCTCTGGCCTTCTCTGCCCCCCCCCCACATGCCAGGTCACCATTGTGAGAATGGTGAGAGCCCCATGGGCTAGAAGATAAGGCTGATGGTGGGGAAGATCCACTCCAGGCTTGCTGCGCTAAGCCGAAGGACCGCTTCAGCGGGGGGGGGGGAGGAATTCAGACGGTGAGGCTCGGTCACCTTTAGGCCCAATTTCAGCTTTCGCAGGGCCTTCTGGGTGCAAGGCCTGAGAGAAAATGCCTCCCATGAGGGCCAGCCGCTTGCCCATCCACTGACCGGGCTGGACTGGAAGTGGCATGTGCCCTTGTCGTGGTCTGGATGCGGGACTTGAAGCAGAGTGGAGGTCCAGCAGCAACAGACCAGAGGAGGCCTGAAAGGCGGCTGAACCTCACCATGTCCACCCACCAAGAAGCCTGCAGCTGTCATCTCTTTGCTGGCATGAAAATCCTCCAGACACCAATATTTGCCGGCGCGAGAAGCCTGCAGCCAGCACTCTTTGCTGGTGCAAGAAGCCTGCAGTCATCAATCTTTGCCAGTGCGAGAAGCTTGAAGCTGCCACTCCCAGATCAGTTCTGGCCAGCAAAGAGATGGCTGCTACAGACCCTTCATGCCAGCAAAAGTGGTGGCTGCAGGCTTCTCATGCTGAAAAAGACCGGCAGCTGCAGGCTTCTTACATTGAAAGAGTGATGGCGGCTGCTGGTCAGTGACTCGGAGAGGGGTCATGTGCCCAGCTGTACCAACAAAGGCTAAAAGTAACCGCTCATTTCCTGCTGCAAAAACCTTTTTAATAACCCTGACTGTTGGGCAGCAAGACTCAGCAAGAGATGAGATGTTGCAGAATCACCATTGCTGTTGCTGCCCCAAGGAAGGTCTAAGGGTCCAGCCACCGCCACTTTGGCCCACCTGTGCCACCCATAACATCAAGTTGGTGACACCCACTCAGTCACATGACACCCCTCCAGCCACACCCAACTGATCTTTAGGATGAACCAGTTGTTAAATTAGTTGGATCCAACCACTGCATATAGGGAAACTTTGAAATGAGTGCTATAAGGGTTGAGCAAAATGACAAAGAGAAACAAAATAAATTATGTGAAAAAAGATTGAGGGATACTTCTAAATAGTTTTTATATATAATTTGGGTATTGAGAGTTAACACACTCAAATCAAAAAGAGTTGTTAGATGTAATTTATTTAAGTTCTATAGAATTCAGTGAAGCTAGATTTTATTTTGGATGCATCTAAAAGAGTAAAAACAATTTCTTCATCATATATTGTTGTGACACAATTGGTTTCATAAGAATTGCATTGGGAGTTGATACATCTGCAAAGCTACAGGTATAGTGTTATGTAGAGTTGAGGCCAGTGGTGCTATTCTACCGGTTCGGCCTGGTTCTGGCGCTGAAGATCAGCAGAGACCGAACCAGTTCTCTCTGAGGACTTGCTATTGGCCCACTTGCCCGCCCAGGCTCTCATACTGACCTTTATTCCCTGCTTTTGAAGTGCAGTTGCTTTGCGCGGCACAAATTGCTGCGTCATCTGCTGAAGCTACGGGGAGTGCAGGATTGCAGATGAGTAGGAAAACCTTTGCACGTGTGCAAAATGCGTGTTTGGCACACACATGTACGCAAAGTGTGCGTGCGTGTGCAAAGAGTGCCCACCAAGCCACGTCCACTGAACCGGTGGCACGTCCACTGAACCTACTTCACAACCCACCACTGGTTGAGGTTCTATATAAGATCTCTCAAGAATTTTAACTCTTAAAATATGCAGTCACAGATTAATCAGAAAAAGGCATTATCTATCACATGGATTGAGTAATTCTTTCTGAAAGGATCTACTGTATATTATCATGCCATATCACTTTATTTTATTACAGTAAATGCCAAATATTATAGGCTAGATTATCAAAAAGCCTATGTTGCTCATTGAGTAAGACATGTGAACTTGGAGCTCTGCTTTATTCAGAGGAGCAAACAGAACTCTTGGATGATTAAAACTCTTGGATGATTCAGTGGAACATATCTTAAACAGCTTGTTAACTCAAGAACAAAAATTATTTCCAGTAAGAATCATCAAACAAATGAAAACGTTTGTTGGGGAAGGAGATTTTACTATCTTGTATCATAATTGTAATATAATTTTAATATTACTGAAAGCTGATTTAGCAGCCCAAACATCATCTGGATATTCCAATAAATGAATGAAAATATGACTAACAGGCTACGGAGACACCTTTCCATAGCTTATCATTCATAATAACCATAGAGTCTTGATTTGTCCCTTAGATTGAGCCAGAACTCGTAGTTCACAAGACATACTCAACAACCCAGATGGGGTCTGGATATGTAGGTTGTGGAACTTCTAGGTATATAGTAAAATTTGTCTTCCAAAATTGCTTTAAATTAATGAAGTGTAGTCTAAGATTAAACATATCAGAAGAACCATTTGAGCTGGAAAAGGAGATAATAATAAGCCTGCACTTCAGAGGATTTACCAGCTGGTTGATAACAGTTCAACTATTCTAATTTGGCAAATTAAAAATCATGTGCCAGAATTTTATAGCTGAGCTTTCCTTCCTTCCTTATGTTTTGTATGATTTGAACTAAGAAAGTAAGATTATATAATCATTAATAGCCTATTAACATTTATTATTTCATCCCTTATCTCACATAAGATGGACTTGTCCAAAACAAACTTATAAAGCTATGAAATTATATCAAAACTGCTTTCTTCATGTTTAATTCTGCATGGATTTAGAATGACTTGAAAACTTCAGAAGAAAGATAAAAAATGTAAATAAGCAGGGTTTCTTCCCTATGCAACTGATTGGATTTCCCAAAACTGAATGTTCACTTCTTCTAAGAATCAGAAATAAGCATGGGAAGAGAAAATATAACGCATTAAACTTCCTATTTCCATCCTTAAAATATTACCACTCAATGAGTAATTTTTTGCTAATTACAGAAGTTAGAGAACAAAACAATGCAACATAATTAAAAGCATGATGCAATTTATACCTGCATTAAGAATTTTAAAAACTCCACAGAATCAGATCAAAAGCCAAGCTGATTTTGGTTCTTTTCATAATAAGCAAATTTCTATGGGGTAGATATGGACTCCTACATTTATCTTCTGGCCAGATATATCATCTCTGAATGGCCATTATTAGCCTTAGATTCATTGATCTATTGTATACATTTTCAAAAACGTCATAGTCCTTGTCTGTTTCTTCCTTTAGTAACAGCTAAAATTTAAATGAAATTTTCATTTTAAGAAATATTAATTTTAACAATAAATTCAATTTGATTTTTTTAAATGTAAAGTTGCATTATAACAATACAATGTTTACAAGTATAAATTTGTTCAGATTTTCAACATTTTAACAAAATAATGCAATTTTAATAAGATATACATTATATATTTTAAAAGCATATACAAACCCCACTGAAGATAGATTACAAGGGACCACTTGGTGATCTCTATCCTATCTCATTTTTTAAATATAACAGGTAATAGATGACCAAGATAAGAATCAGGTGGCATACTAATAACATCCAAAATAGGTCCCCAAAATGGTAGATATTTTGATGAATATCAGATCATTGCTAAGCTGTCTAGTGTTATTTAATTATGCAGGTATAAAGACAAAATATTTCTAATTGAAGATGTTTGCGCTATTATATAATATAATTTTGATGTTACAGAAGACTTCGGATTAGAAAATCTGAGGTTTTCTATAAGAATATAAGTTGTTTATCCTGTTCATTTGACTAAAGGTATAGCTTCTGAAGAAGTCTAAGATGTTTGCTAAACTAAACTAATTTCTTCTATATGTGTATGTCTGGGTGGAAATTCAAAACATCTAACATATAAATTATATTTCAATATGCAAAATCTGAAATGGGTTAGTATTAAAATGATTGCCATATTTTCTTCCTATGAAATCTGACCATTTAAAGCATATCAGAAATTTAAAAAGGCTATGGAAGAAGGAAGGAAAATTGTCTTAAAATTACCAGTTTAAAAACACAGAGACGAATGTAACAGTTCCTTTAACACTTGAATAGATTTCTGGTTGACCAATTTCCTCTCATTCTCTTTGCAGCTTTGCAAAAGAAAACTATATCCTTTCAAGAGACCAATCTGTAGATTTCCAGTCCAGGATGTGAACATTCAAGGACATGTTTCTTGTTTACTAATTTGTAGAAGAGCCAGCATAATCGTGACAATTCTTTGATCATTCATTATTCACAGTGTTTCCACTTTGCTGCACATGTATATGCATGCTATATATCTTTGGCAAGGACAGTCTATTTAAGTCCCAAAGTTCACACTTAAATATTCTTAATTTTCACATTTAATTCCAAAACAGCCCCTACCATAAATATGATTGTTCAGAATACATGTGCATACAAATCAAATCTACAGTTCACATATAGTATCATCTTTAAAAAAAATATTAAACAGCTGAGATTCATTATTGAATTTAAAAGCCACAAACTTCCATTGTATATAGCAGATTCAGATATTGTTTTCAGTTTCTATTCATTATAGAGTTATGGTCATGAGCCACACTTTTTTTCAGAACAATGTCTATACTGCTGGAGAAGTAATGTTTATACTAGATATGTGTAGCTACAGAAGAATGTAGGTTCTGCTTGCCAAAATTATCTTTATATGTATGTGTCTGTCTGTGTATACCTACACATACACATGCACACACATGCACACAAGTACATGTAGATATACAGTACAAATAATATTTCTATTCCATTCTCAATTAAAAAAAGAAAAACATGGTGATGAATGCTGAGTTATACCAAAATATCACTTCTTTTGCTACACCATACCACTAAACCAACCATGGCAACTGTCAGAAGAATTGGAATGAAAATCAAAGGAACCAGAATTTTATCAGGAGGATCTTCCCAATGCACTTTATCTGAGGTACAGTTTGTAAAGAATTGTCTATGGATTCCAGTGATGAAACCTTCAGCCAGTGGGTTAGGCCAAAAGCACTTTGCTGTTGAAACTTTGTGTTCTGTACATAGAATAAAGTTGTTGTAATACCTGAAAAGGAAATAATATGAAAATAAGAAATACATTCTCAAAACACTGCTGAAAACTATTTTTTTCTTTCCTTCTAATTTAATGTACACCTAAGTTCAACAAGTTTTAATATCAAAGATTCTGCTTCTAAAATATAAGTTGCAGTAGTTTTTTACAGGTGGTCCTCAATAAATGACCATAAAAAGATGCAGTAGCTTTTTATTAGTATCCTTGAGTAATGACCCTAATAGGAACTGCTAAGCAAAGTAATCACTAAGCGGGAAGTCACACTGTAACTGTAGTTTCTGTCTGGAAGGAGATAAGAGTCGTCAATTACACACCTTTTCAGCATCCCTCAGTCACATGATCACCATTACAATCAATATGATGTAATTGGATTGGGAATTGCAAGGGTGTTATACAAACAGCTTATAGTACTCTCTTGGAATATCTTCCTCTCCAATCTCTTCTCTGTGGGGGGGGGAGGAGAGGGGGAGGAAAAAATGGAAGCAATCTCTCCTGTGTCTTTCGCACTGCCAGTGCAATCACATTGCTTTCCATGTGTAGAAAAGCAAACAGCTCGCTCTGTTGAAATCCCTCTGCAGTTTCTCTACTCTGGGGGTGGAGGGAAGAGAAAAAAGCAATCTATTTCTCAAGGCAATTTTACTTTTTTTTATCACCAACATATTGCAAATGGCCATTGTCCAAGCTAGGCGCTAAATGAAAAATGCCTGTATTTTTTTTTAATAAAACTGAAACAGGAACTATACAACTCGGATTATGATGTGTGATTCATTATATATGAATCATATGTGTTAGGGATAACATTGTTTTACCCTAACTGCTTTGGGTAAAGATAATAAAATGATGAATCATGGTTTGTCAGATAAAGTGTATGTGACTTTAAGCTAAAGGAATGTAATTAAGGGTGCAGCTGTAAAAGTACTATATAAGCAGCAAGGCACTCTCTGGCTCTTACTGGCTGGCTTATTGAAGACTGCGTTCTTGCTGGATCGGGGAGGAGAAGAAGTGTTGGATTACTTTGAAGATATTTCTCAACGGAGAGAAGATAAGTTTTGGACAGATTTATTATATGTGTACTGACACTGGCTATTCGACACGGACTTTGCAATTAGAGTATCCTCGACAAGACTTGACTGAATTTGGTATATGACTAATGGACTGTTTATAATGACTATGCTATAATTCTTAAATGGAATAAATTATAATTTTGATAGCACAAGCGTATCTGTATTTTTACTGCGTGTTAACGAGAAGGCTTATCTCACACATTTACCTGTCTTCCTATCTGACTTCGCTGCACATTCTGTTTAGTTTGTTTTCCTTAACACCCGTTGGGGAATCCAGGCTTAACAATATGCCTCAGACATCATGGCATATGTGTGATTATATATACATATGAATAATCAGTCTTATTTCACTGATGCAAAATATGGTTTTACCATATTTTTCTATGTGAGAGAAGTACATGGAGTGGAGGGTAGAAAGGAATTGAATATGGCTCCTTCATACACACCTGTCAAAGAGAGAGGGAGGGAGGGAGTAAGAGAGAAGGAAGGAGGGGCAGAGGGAGAGGAAGAGGCAGGAAGAGAGACCAATCTGGTTGCTTTTGATATGGAAAAAATAAACTAGAAAAGTTGTTTATATAGCTCCCATGTCTAATCTAGATTGGCACAGTTTAGTCCTGGTGCTTTTATTAGGATTTACATTCAAATTTCATTTATTGTGTTTATATACTTGTTGAAGCCAGTAGGACTTGCTGTACTGAAATTAGTTGAGTTGGCTGAGATTAAGAGACAAACCTATACGATTATTCTAAAGTATGACATATAAAATTGCTCTTTAATCTCCACTAATTTCAACATGTATATGATTGCTTAAAATAATAATTTACTGTATATAGTAACTTAAACTTGTTTATATGCTTCTTGCATGGAAAATCAACAGAAATGCTCATAAAGAGTATAATAACATGAACAATTCACTAGATGCTTGGATTTGGCCTATGGCATGCATAATAATACAACTGTTCAAAAGGTTTAACTATAAATCGTATATATGGATTTGTTTCTAAAATCTAAATAAAGCACTTTAGGAATTCACTTAGGAGGAGTTGCTAAAATCAACATTCTCAGAAAAATCCCTATTTGCTTTCTAATAATAGAATATTATTGTTACTGACTGTGATTATGCAACCATCTTTGCTCACCACATTACACTTACTGTAACTCTTTCAAGACCAAAGATACAAATACCAGTGCTAGTATGTACACCAGTGTCACACTTCCCAAGAACTTTTTGTCATGTATCTCGTTTCTTCCAATCTTTCCTTTCCACACCAATTTAATGACTTATTGCTTATAATAAAAAGGAGAAATACCTAAATATATGGCACCAATCATGCTAAATATCTTCTAATTTAATTTTTGCCATTATAAAGCAATTTATTAAATATTGTAGCAAATATAATAACTATGAATCTGAAATGCATAACAAAAATATTCATTCTATTGCTGTAGGCACACATCTTTGAATGAGAAAAGATCCTTTTTTAATGTCATTGAAATCTGCATGATACACTTTATAGCATGTAATTTTAAATTATGAAAAGAGAAGATTTTACTTCTTATCTTAATATCATTTTGAAATTTATTCTATATCAGTGCACAAACCTGAGCCATTCAAATTATGCTATGCTTCACTTTCAGGATTATCAGTAGGGAAAATTATATGCAACAACCTCATGTCCTAAGATTATAGATTTATTATTATTTGAATCTCTTAGATTTATTTTATTGTCTACTACTTCACTCCTGTTTAATCATCATTTCAGAAATATTTCTTACCTAAGCAGAGAAACAAATGGGGAAAAAGGCAATTGGAGTGGAAGCAACATCTGACTATTAGCCAGCTTCACTATTGAATTTCCTTGTGGGAACTTGGCAGGGAACATCAGAAATATTCCTTCCTTTCATTAACAGAGGAATTGAACCAAGATCACATGAAGTGTTAGTACCATTTTATAATCCTTTTGTAAGACCACACTATTGCACCTAGTTTTGGTTGCTACAATGTAAAAACAATGTTGAAAAAGTGCAGAGAAGAACAACAAGTAGGGAGCTGAGAGCTAAAATGTATGAAGAATTGTTGCTGGAATTGGGTAGTCTACTTTAATGAAAAGAAGCACTAGGGGTGACACAATAGTAGTGTTTCAATATCGAAAGGGATGCCACAAAGAGGGGATTAACTTATTCTCCAAATCACCTGAAGTTAGGATAAGAAGTAATGGATGGAAACTAATCAAGGAGAGAACCAACCTAGAATTAAGGAGAAATTTCTTGACAATTAGAACAATTATTCTGTGGGACAACTTGACTTCGGAAATTGTGGGTGCTCCAGCAATGGAGGTTTTTAAAAAGAGATTGGACAATTATTTCTCTAAAATGTTATAGGGTTTCCTGCTTGAGCAGGGGGATGAATTAGAAGATTTACAAGGTCCCTTCCAACTCTGTTATTCAATTTAACTGTTAAAAAGCCAAATAATTTTATGCTTATAATATTTACATTCTAAAGTGAAATTAATATTTATAGTTTTTCTTTCAATTTTTTATTTTCAATACTTCAAGCTGAGTAATAGAATGTTGATAATATTTAATTATATATAGATCATATACATATCACTGTACTGAAATAAATAAATAAAGCTCATTCCTATTACAGTCTCTTTAAAGTTATTTCTCTGCTAATAGCAGCGTCTGTTTCCTTTTCTGTTCCCACTATTTGTGAGCCCATAGACTTGACTTGAAAATCTTCCTCCTCCTCCTCCTCTACTTCTCTTTTACTTTTCTAGATATTTCACTTTTATTAAATTTGCTTTGCCTATCTATCCCTATCTACCTATCTAAAGATATCTAAAGATAGATATACTGTATGTATATGTATAAAAAGTACCTTAAACTATCTACATAAACATATCTTTCTATTCCAATAGAAAGAATTTTTTTTTCCTGTTTGTTAGCCTATTAGTTTGATTTGAAAATCCATCATTTTCTTAATTTATTTTGTGAGATTAAGCATATATATACATTCTTGAAAAAAGTCTTATATTTTTTCAGCTGGAAGAAAATCAGCTCCTTCATAAAATATGAAGGAGGAAGATAAGAAGCGAAAGTTTTGGTTGACCGGGTCAAACAGCAAAAGCAACAAATAAGGTACCCTGGAATTTAAACTTAACAACATTGTTCCCAAAGAAGATTTTGAAGCTGCGAAGGAGAGAGAGAAGGGAAAGGATTAATTTTTTTTTCTTCCCTTCCTTATACTGACAGCTAAGAGACTTAAGCAAGAAACTGAAAAAAAAAAAAAACACTTTGACATTAATAGGCATCTAAGCTGAAAATAAAAGTCAAAGGGATAAATAAAGATTTCTGGACATTTAAATGTTTTTTAAAAGCTGGAAAGGAGAAAAAAAAAGAATAGAAGGGCAGGATCTGGAAAAATGGAGGAGACTGCCTGGAATTAAGGAATGGAACTGTAATTAAAAGGAACTTACAGTGAAATTTTAACAAGATTCCTCAAAGATACATTTTAATGGAAACTTGGTAACAAAATAATAGAACCCCAGGAAGAGAAAGTGGAAAAAAGAAGCAAGTAGAAACAGCCTTGGATTATTTGGATTACTTGGTGAGTTTTGGTTTTTGCATCTAGATGACTAAAATTAACTGGGTGGTTGTTTAAAAGTTTTTAAAATGGTATCACTCTTAGAAGAACTGAAAACGGAACTTAAAAAATGGAAAGAAGATGCACAAGAAGGGAGAAGTTCTTTTGGCTTCGTGTTTCAATTTTTAGAAATGGAGATCTGGAACTATGAGAAGCAACAAGAAACGCTTGCAGAACTAGAAGATTGGGACAAAGAAGAAGCTATCTTTAATGATCAAATAATTTTAAGTGGGTGGGGGGAGAGAATGAAAGGTTTAAGATTAGAAAAAACAACCAAAAAGAAG